TGGCAGAACCACTGAGCTAAATCCCCGGCCCCGACTTTGGAATACTTTTATTTCTCCCTTTCTACCCCAACCCTCCCAGCCCTAGAAAACCACTTTTTGTCTCATGGATTTGCCTATTCTAGATATTTTCTTTTTTTGTTGATTGGTTTTGGTTTTGGTTTTTTGAGACAGGTCTCACTGTGTAGTTCAGGCTGTCCTTGAACTCACTATGTAGTCCAGGCTGGTCTCCAGCTGGTGGTGATCCTCCTGCCTCAGCATCCCGAGTGCTGGGATTACTGAACAGTGCTCTAGACATTTCTTATAAAAAGAATTCTACAAAATATGACTGCTTCTTTCACTTAGCATAATGATTGCAAGATTTGTTCATGTATGTGTCAGTACTTCCTTTTTATTGCTAAATGACATTTCATTGTATGGATATGCCATAGTTTATTTATGCACTCATTGGATGGTGGACATTTGAGTTGTTTCTTCTTTGGCAATTAACATACATTAGTTTTGCCTGGCTGCAAACTTTATACAGTGGATATATAAATGTTTTTTATGTGTGTTTGTTTGTGAGACTTATCCATGTTGTCACCTATAGCTAGAGGTTGTTCATTTTTCACTGCTGTATAGTATTCCTTTATTTGGATGTACCAAAATTTGCCCATTCTACTCCTTATGGACATTTGAGTTGCTTCAGATCTAGAACTATGGCTAATAAGGCTTCTATGAACATTCCTGTACATGTCTTTTGTTGCACCTGTACACAGACTCCTGTTAGGTATGTGCTAAGAGTGAAATTGATCGGTCATGGGGTATATTATTTTCCTTTCTTGGGTGTTTGGGTTTTTTCTAATTTACTGTATAATGCCAGTTTTCTAAAATAGTTGAATCAATTTACACTCCCAACAGCAACATATGAGCCGTCTGTTTTTCACATTAAGCATCTAATCTACCTGGAACCAACCTGTGCGTATGGTATGAGATGCAGTCAAGTTTCATTTTTTTACATTGGGATATATGATTAGTCCGTAGCTATGATGGAATAAGCCACCTTTTCCCCACTTCTTTACGAAGACATCTTTGGCAAGAATAAAATGTTCAGATTGATGTGAAGATGTTTCTAGACTCTCAGTTCTGAGCCATTTGTCTATTTATCGTGTTCCAAATCCATACTGCACCGTATCACCACCATCATCATCTCCATTTTACAAATGAGGAAACCGAGGCACAGAGACATCAAAGAGCCCGCCCAGGTAAGTATGCAATTTACTAGTTAATAGCACAGCTGGAAACAGAACTCAGGAGCTCGGCTTTACGTGCTATCAAAAAACTTCGCAGGTCCTCAAGCTGAATAGTTCAAAGAACAAATATTTTGTCACCACCTGCAAGCGGCTTTGCATGTAGTCTTGGAAACTGGAAAAACGGCTGCTCCACACTGCGCGTGCGCAGGTAACCAAGGGGACCAAATGGAACCGTCAATTCCCCCAATGTCACCACTAGAGGGCGCGGCCCGATCTTCGTCCTGGACCATCAACCAATCATCCAAGGTCTACACCAGGCACAGTTCAAAACGAAGGTACAAAGTTGACTAAACCAGTCTCCGTGCAAGACTTTGACAAAAAGAGACAAAACAAGACTGATCTGTGTTCTTAAATATCTTCTGGAAAGAGAGACACCTCCTACTTCCTGGCGAATTTGTCTCATCCCTGGAAGGCCTAAGAAGTCCCTCCCAAGTCTGGCCCAACCTAGTGTAACCCAGCTTCTTTTGTTCTTCGGTTCTTGGAAACAAGGAACAGGCAGGTGTTAGGCATCCTCATCGCAACCAGTGTTTAGAGAAGCTTCTAAGAACAAGGTGTCGGGCAGGGGGTGTAGCTCAGTGGCACCGTGCCTGCCTCGCAAGGGCAAGGTCCTGAGTTCGATCCCCGGTACCAAAAAGAAAAAAACAAAGAAAGAAGAACAAGGTGTAGAGCTCTGAGGCCATGAGCTCTTTGTTTCGCTTCTTTAGCAACCCACAGGCATCTGTCTTTGATCTCTCTCCAGTTTCTCTATGTCCCTCAAAACCACAAATGGACTTTGCCTCCAATATCCTAGCCAGTGTTAGATTTGCTTCCTGGTTGTTGGATGTTGCTCTGTTAATATACCCAAGCAAGAAGCAATCATCTTTATCAACTTGATGATAACAACGCAAACAACAGAACAAAGACAATGATGCAGCAGTATGCAACATGCTTGGTGTTTTAAATTTTTTAAATGCAAGGCAACAATGCACTTCTGCTTTGATTAAAGCTGCTGAGTTTAGACAAACAAAGTCTAGGAAGCAACAAAAAGAAAAGAAACACCTGATTTGTTAGGTTTGGGGGACCAATTATTGTTTTTTCATTATTGGTATAATTATAAGGGCTTTAAACAATGAGTAAAATCTTTTATTCACTCAGACATTTATGGAGCATGTATCACATGTAAAATTCAGCGCCCAGCAGGGTGATGCATGGCCGTAATCCCAGCACTTTAGGAAGGCAAAGCAGGAGAATCACAAGTTGGGTTTAATTTCCAGTACCACAAAACAAACAAGCAAACTCGGGCTGGATATTACAAGGAAGGCAAAATCAGCTACAGAGCCTGCTGCTCAGAGTACTAGTCATCCACATAGTAAAAGTGGACTAGGTACTGTTATCTAGTGTATTGACTAAGAAAGTGAGAAACAGGGGCTGCAGATCTAGCTCAGTGGTGCCACGCCTGCCTTGCAAACACAAGGTCCTGAGTCTGATCCCTGATACCAGAAAAAACAAGAAAAGTAATGAGAAATACCATTGATTCATCCAGTTAGCATCTAAAGTGGAGATTTAAAAATAAGGACAGAGGTGGGGATGGTGGCACATACCTCTACTCCCAGCACTCAGGAAGCTGAGGCAGGAGGATCCCCAAGAGTTCAAGGCCTCCCTGGGCTACATAGTAAGTTCAAGGCCAGCCTGAACTACATAGCAAAACCCCATCTCAAAAATTTTTTTAAATTGAATGTAAAATAAAAAATAAGGACAGAGTCAGGCAAGGGGACTGGGATAGCCCTTGAAGGTCCTTGTCCAACAAAGACTCAAGTTCCTTTTACTCAAATAATCTGTGAGCACTAAGTGTCAGGCACTGAGGTAGACCTTGGAAATACAAGTAGAAATAAGCCAGGGCCCTGTTCTCCAGGAGTTTCTAGTCTAATGGGGTAGACAGACAATGAAGCGAGACATTCCAGCACCACGAGCCAAGGCCAGAGAGGGAAGGAAAGCACAGAATGAGACAGGGCACCACGCAGGGAGGAGTCAGTGAGAAGATGGCATCTATTCTGAGCAATGACCCAAGGTCAGCAGGAGTTAGCATGTGGCGAGGGGCAAGTGATCCATGCTGGGGGAACAGCTTGTACATTGCCCTGGGAACGAGAGAAAGCTCTCAGCTCTCAGCACCAGCGCTGGATTTCACAGAGTGGCTCCAATTAACACCACTAAGTTGCTGACTAATTGCTAAATTCCTCCATTGCTCATTCCTGAGATCAAGAGGGGTTCTATGCACGGGATCAATGGAGTGAGTGCCAAATTGAAACAAACCTTTCTCCACCCAGTAACTCGAGAGCTGCAGCCTAAGTAGGCCACCTTAGCCCACCCTTGACACTGCTGTTTGTAATTACAGCTTCTCTTGCCATTCAGTTGATCGGTCAGTCAATGAGCAAACCCTATGCCAGCCTCCAGAAAAATTAGAGGGTTCTACCTGCCTCCCCCCGCCCCCCGACACCCAGCCAGGCCAGGAGACAGTGCCCTCCAACATCTCTGAATTCCACATAGAATCCATTCACTGGGACTACTACACATAGACTAAAAGAAAATAAATTCGTGTGACAGCATAATTATCATCTCAGCCTGGATCCTCCGCATTCCTTTCTTCCTGCCAAACCCTCTACAGCTGCTTGGAAGGGCAGTCCTGCCTCACTCAAGACTCTGCCACTGGAAAATACCAAGCATCTCACCACAGACCGAACTATAGCTTCTGAGTAAAAAGCAGAAGCACTGAGATTAGAATAATCTGGAGGAGTCCTCTTATTTGCCTTGTAACACTGAGCCTGACGCTGGATCTGCGGCGCATTCCGTTGCTTTATCAGTAGAATGAGACTAATTGCAGCTCTTTCGTTGGGCTTTGTTGAATGAATGTAACTGGCTGGGTCGAGAGCACAGAATAAGACCGTTCTTGCTTGGCAAACAGGATGCGCGTCTCTTTTATAAATGGCAGGTGAAGTGGAACCACGTCGATGACGACATTAACGATGGTGATACGGAAACGCTGGTTGGCAGTTCTGTAAATCACTGGCCGAGTCGTAGCAACCTCCTCCAGCCAAGGCAGCTTATTCCAAGGGCGGGTCCTCCAGGGATCTGCAGTGCCTGGAGACTCGGCCCACGCCCAGACCTCCGCCCTAACCCCAGCTTTTGTCCCTTGCCGCGTGAACCACTCCTCCCTGACACATGGTGGGAACGTGAGGGGGCGGGACCGGGCCGGCCCCGCTAGCCCAATCTCCGGGTGGGAGACCTGCAGCCAATGACAGAGATGCTTGAGGGTGCTGGAGGCGGAGCCACGGAGAGAAGCGGCGGCGTCATAGGTCACTGGGCGGGCTGTAGGTGTGGCCCAGGGAGCCGACTGGGGCGGAGCGGCAGCGGCCCTACCAGTCGGGGCAGAGATGGCGGCTGCTGTGGGTACCGGGACTGGCGCAGCCCCTACGCCGGCGACCGGAGCGGAGGGCGCCTGCTCGGTGCACTGGTTCCGCAAAGGGCTGCGGCTCCACGACAATCCGGCGCTGCTGGCGGCCGTGCGTGGGGCGCGCTGCGTGCGCTGCGTTTACATCCTCGACCCGTGGTTCGCGGCCTCTTCATCCGTCGGGATCAACCGCTGGAGGTGAGGGGCCGGCGGCCTGCGGGCGGAAGGCCGGGTCACGCCCTTCCGGGCGAGGGAGATGGGAAGGGAGACAGGGAGTCATTCGTCTTCGTGCCCTCCTTGGGCCAGGGCGCCGCTTCTGACACAGCGCTTTCGTACTGTCACTCTGCGGCCCACGACAGGCCCGGAGGACAGAGACCGTGGTCCCCATTGTTCAGATGGGACCCTTGAGTCCTGCGGGCGCAGAGTCGGCCTGCCCAGAGACGCAGCCAGTGAGTGGCCTAACGGGGACTCCCTGGGGAGGGCTCTAAGGGGCGTGCGCGGGGAGGGGCAGAAGGAGATGCGGTTTGACGGCGGGGACGGATTTCTGCTCACATTCTTCAAATGAGGGGCTCATTGCTGGGCTCCTGGGGGTCATCTATAAGCCCCTGGTTTATTTGAATCCGCCCTTTCACCCATCCTGACTTCCCTCCACCCAGAGTTGAACCCCTGGAGGTGTAGAGAGCCTGCTCAGCCTTCACTAAGGCCTTCCCCTGATTTATAGATAAAGATTCCAAGGGCTTCTTCAGGTAGAGGCACTGTTAGTTCTGAACGCCAGTGCAGTACTGCTTAACTCAATTTAGCCACTATGACCTTGCTAGAAAATCTGTAAAAGGAATCCAAGTGTCACTCTTTCCACTTCCTCTCATGAAATGATTTTAAGAGGACAATTGAGTCATTATAGACTATATTTTTATGAATTGATGTGGTAAGGGCAAGGAGCAGGAAAGCCATGATATCAAGGGTCCCTCACTGGTGGCTGTCAGGAGATGGAGTCCTGTTCCAGGACCACGGAAAGGATCAACAGGTAGCTGGTTTATTTTTCTGTAACTGTATTTAAAACAGAAAGTTTTGATACGTAGTGTACCCATCACTCCTTCAAACTCTACATCAGTGGCTTGGTTTGTTTGCATTGTTCAGAGGGATGTTTGCTCGTGGCCTTGTTGCCCAGATAGGCAGGGATTTTTTTTCCAGGATACAGTGGCTCTCAGCGCTCTGTTCTTTCTTTTCCAAGGTGTGTGCTCTGCTAAGAGACTGAGTGCTCCTAGCAGTAGGCCTATTAAATGCCCCCTCCTGCCCCACTTATATAGAGGGAACAACTAAAGATAGTCCTGTGGAGAGCCTGCCTACACTCTTTTCAGTGTGCTCTATTGCTCTGCCTTGCTCCGGTTTCTGTAGATAGGAGGTTGGGTTGACAGACATTCTGAAATGACCATCTCTAGTGTGGACATTACACCAGGCCTCAGCCTTTGGCCCCCTCCTTTGGGAGTGTGCCAGCCACAGCAGACTAGATAGAATCCAGCTTCCTGCTTATTACACTGCCCTGGAGGCCACTCTTCTTTTACTGGGTTTTGGGGTCCTCCTCCTTTGGAGTAGTGGAGATTAAAAACTCTTGTTGCTGATTAAACTCCACTGTCACTAGGAATTGTGTTTGTGAATTTTGTTAGGTCACCCTTTTGTGACTGCTTTCGAGGGAGTGAGGGAGAAAAGAAATGTGGCAGCTCTGATGCCTGAGTTAAATCTCCACGTCAGAGGCTGTGCAGGAATGCTGATAATCTAGTGATTATTTAATGAGTTCCTAAAATCTGCCAGTGCTAAAATCTGTGGGTGCCGCGAATGAGCAGGTGTGTGTCTCTGTTCCCAGAGCTGCCAGAGCCTTCATTTTAATGGAGAAGGACATGTAAATGACCATAACTTAGTAGAACTAAATACTGTGGGAAAGTAAAATAGGGAGATGGACTCGAGCAACGGCACTCAGTCCGGGCTGTGCATTGGAATCACCTGAGGGTTTTTAAAGGAAGCACCACCCCCATTTTTACTGACTTGTTCTGGGCTTGAGATTAGGGTTTTAGCGAGCTCGTTGCAGCGAAGCCTGGGAAGCACAGACCTCACCAGGCAGCCCGGGAAATGTGTTGCCTCAGCGCATTGGCAGGAAGTCTAATTGGTGCTGGCATTCTGGAGAAAGAGGTGAAATAACACAAAACAGATCGAATTGGGTAACTGTGTCTGGGCCTGGCAACAGACACACTCCTCCCAGCCTCGCCTTTCTTGCTCCCAGATGGGTTGAAGGCAGGGCGGCCTTCTGTTTTGTGCCCAGGGTTGGAGGCAGGGAGGAGTGCTGGCACCAGCTGACCGCACCTCTGCGTAACTGCAGTGTGTGTAATCTTCCGGTGGCTGTTTCTGGGTCCAGGGAGTGGTCTGGGAGAACTGTGCTGCAACATAACATTCTAGCTTTCGACTGCTTGAGTTGCTCTCCGTCTGAAAAGCCCCTCCAGGAAAGACGGGGGTCCGTCTGTGAGAAGTACAGGGAACCAAAATCTGTCTTCTGTTACCCTCCTGCATATCCTAACTCCCACACAGCATTTTTCTGCAGATAGACTTAGATGAACATAGGTATGGGTGACACACTAAAAGAGGACAGAGAAAGGCATCCAAGAAACACATGTATGCACTGGCATAGGAGGGGCCAGCACTAGTGGTGGCAGGAAATCTGTGAGGGAACTGAATTAGGAATGCTTTTCAGGCACCGATTGGCCTGAGCTCGTTGACATTTTCTCCAGCCCCTTCTTTCCCACATTTGCTACCTCTGGAAGGAGGCACTGTAGCAAGAGCAGAAACAAAAGGAGGATGTGAGCAGCTTCTAGATTCTACAGTGGGCACTCAAAATAGACCCTTGCAGATTTTAATTACCTTTCACCCAAATGCAACTTAGACAGATGTTGGTTGGCAACAATTCTTGTCACACTTTATTGAAATCATTTTGTCCCTGGCTCTCTGCTGCACATCTTTCCAGAGCTTCTGGGATCGAGTTAGTAGAAATAAAATATGGTCTCTCAGCCCATTTCTCCCAGAATTTGTAAATGAGGTAAACTGGGAACCCTTCAGATGCCCGGTGAGAATGAGCTGTCTCTTCCCAAATGCTGGGAGTTGAATACTGTTGGGCTGTCAAAGGGGGGGTTCTTCCCTGGAACCTGGTCAGCAAGAAAGGGCTTGAGGATTGGAGTCTGCTGCTGGGGACCTGTATTTCTCAATCCCATTTATTCTGGTACCCAGGAAAGTGCTTTGCAGTTCTGCCAATAAGGACATGCGTCCATCTGCCCAAGAGGGCTGAAACCTTCATCTTTCTCCCTGAGATGAGGAAAGGATCAATATATTTTTTTATCTGAATGATTCTGAGAATTCAGTTCCTGCTGTGGATTTTTAGTTTAGATTATCCTGTTCCTGGGGCTTACGTTCCCTTGATTATTTAGCAGAAATTAATTTATCAATTTATTAATTAATATTTAATATTAATTTAATTGATGTAATATTAATTTATCCTATGTAGCCAGTCTGTGCCAGTCAACGGTATCATCATTATGGTTAGATAAACTTGACTTGAAGCACAGGAACTTGGTCAGGGACAATCTGGGTCCAAAAGAAGAATTCACTATTATCCTTCCTCCCCCCATTAACAGCAAATAAAGTGTTTCTCAGAATGCGCATCCCTAGGTGCAGTGTTCCCTGGTAAAGCAGTTTTTCAGAGGATCTGCCTGTTGTATTCTAAAGGGCTAGCCTGCTGGATCCCCCATTAGAGTCCTCTGTATTTTTGGAAATCCCAATTTGGTTTTCTCCAGTCTGTCTGTCTCTGGCTCCTGGGGACTTACATAATATAATTCAGTTGCGCATGTCATCTCATCCAAAGAGTGAGCCTGAACTGCTCACACAGGATCGTGTGCTCTGAATTTGGGCCCTATGAGCTCAGCTTAGAACTGCCAAGGGTGAGATACCAGACCCCAACAACCAGTGCCCATGCCGGTTTCCTTTGGATGCCCCCTGGGTGGAGCGAAGAGAAGCCAGCCATGTGCTAAGGAAGAGGAAGGGCTCTGAGGCACAGAGCGGGGCTGGGGTTCCTCTGAGTGAAAGAATGTGTACACCTGCCCCAGAGAGCTTTGCCCAGTAGTAGCCCCACTCTGGTCCCTTTGGTCTTACACAAGACTCACCTGGCAGGCCTGAAAGGTTGTGCTGTAGTGGGCTGCCACAAGCCTCCTCTGTCTCCTGCCCGTTGCTTCCGGGGAACCCTGCAGAGCCCTCCCTTCCCAGGGCTTATCCCAAAGTAGCTGAAAATAGAGCATTTCCCCAGGGCCAGAGGCAGAAACCAGGATCTCAGAGTGGAGAGAGAAAGCAAGCAAGAGATCACACAGAAATTTGAAGCAAGGACAATAGACAAAAGCAAAGCCCATTTCCAGAAATGTACAAATGAACCACCAGGTGATCTGGTAAAATGCAGACTCAAGGTCTAGAATGAAACCTGAGGTCTTCCGTTGCAGCAAGCTCCTGGGTGATTCATAGCCAACTTCGAGCTGAACACCACACTCTGGAGGGCACAGATATTGGCCTTTGCCTTGGGCTGTGCTGCTTCCTAATGGCTGAGCCCTGAGCAGCACAGCTCATTGCTCACTGCATAGAGGCAGTGGATTCTGGTGGCCAAGAATGAACACATGAGCCAGACAGATCACCTGGGTTGAATTCTGGCCACTTAGTAGGTAGATGATGTTGTTATTTAATCTCTCTGTGCACCAGTCTTCTCATCTGTAAAATGTGAATCAAAATGGTGCTGTTTGAGAATTAAATGAGAACATATGCAGAGTAGCGCCTGGTGCACTGTGAATGCTTATTAAATGTTTTTGCCAGTATTGTGTTGCTGGATTTAGAACTGGGCCTTCTGCTTCTTCCTGTCCTGGCTATAGATATCTCTGTCAAAGAGTGAAAAGGCCTCTCATATATGCACTAAGAGAAGAGCAAAGAAGCTAAATGATGCCTAAAAATAAAGTTCTATGGAAGGCAGATTGCAACATGTTCTGGAACCTAGATTTCATGTGCATTTGAGCCTTATTTATAGCTCCAAATCAGAGTCCTCACCTGTGCAGTCTGGTGGGCTGCATGGCAGGACATTCCCGGGAGCCTCAGGTGGAGGAATCTGTCCTGAGGTTATAGAATTTAATCGCCGTTTGTCTCTAGGCATTCTACATGGTGGGGCCAGGTTTCAGGTGGCTGAGGGTATTTCATGGGTCTCTTATTGACCTTCTGGGAGGAGTAATGGGACCAAGAGGAGGGCAGTGCAAGTGTGTCATCATCACATTCACACACAGATTACTTAGCAGTCAGAGGGTGTCAAGTTCTCAAAGGAGGAATTCACAGAGGTGGCGCTTTTCATTTGCATACAGCAGCATTCACTTGTCAGTCTCCCATCATAAACCCTACATGCTGTGTATGGCTAACATGATGCTTTGGGCCTGGCCCAGGCCTCAGCTCATGCTGGAATGTGGGCCTGCCACTTTGGCATGGGATGGTGTCACGTTGCATACGTCAGAGGCAGCAGCAGGGGCTGGTTCTGGTTGCAGCCTGGCAAGTTGCTGCTCTGTAAGCTGCCAGGGGTCAGAGAATGTGATATGCTACAGAGGAGGTCCAGGAGGATTTCATCATGCTAAAAATAAAATCTGGCGACTCCTGTTGTTGACAGAGACAAAGGATGCTGGGGATGAATGGGAAAGACCAGGACTAGATAGCAGGCTCCTCAGAGGACCTGGGACACAGGCAGGCTGCCCTTCCAGGCGTGGTCCTGAGGAGGAATACAAGAATGTCAGCCCTTGACCTGTGTAGTCCTGTATCTGTCTCAGTACGGCTCAGGAGGTCTGCCAGATCTTGCCCGGGAGCATGCTGGCACTGCACCAGAAGTCTAGAAATGCGCCACAGAGAAGAAAATGTGAGTGTTAGAGTCTGAGGGACCCGGTTCCTGTGCCAGCTCTGTCATTTAATAAAGCTATGATCCTTGGTGAATTAACCTGTCTTTCTCATCTATACCTCATCTATACAATGGGGAAGTACAATTTCCTTCAAACTACATTGAAGAATTAAATGAGGAAAGGCACTTTAAAAGCATGACCGATGCATAATCAAATTGATAACCTTGGTTGCCTTCGAAGAGAAAAGCAAGAGAGGATACTTCTTACTGTGCACCCTTTTGTCCCTGGGGTTTTGAAACACATGAATAGTTATCTGGTTAAAATGGTAATTTAAAAATAAACCACTGAAGGTACTCAGCAAAGGTTAATTTCCTATCCTTTCTCCTGGTGATTCAGCTCTCCTGCAGGGGCTCTTGAGTATCTGTAGTGACCACCCACCCCAACCCACGCATGTTTGGTACCATCTAAGTCCCTTGTCCCTCTTGGAATGAGAACCTGGTGGGTGAGTCTCCTGCCGAACCAGAGCTCTGGGGATTGGGGACCCAGCCCAGTCTCTGTGTGTGGTTGTAGCATTGGAAACACGCAGCCCAAAGCATGAATGCAGAAAGGCAAAGAGGTCACTGGACCAGGGTTGGTAGGGCTGCGGCAGTCTGTTTCTCTGCTAATGGGACCTGATTTCTTCCCTGGCACAGTGTCACAGCTGTTTCTCAGGTGGCTTTCTCATCCATCCTCTCATTTGATTCTGACACCAAGGTGGATAGTTACACACTGCACTGGAGGCTGAATAGAGAGAAGAGAGGACTCGCTTGTCTCTGATCACTCAGAAACATGGAAAGAAGGAGCAGCTCACGTTTGTCCCACTAGTTCTTTGTGCCACACTCTGAGCTAAATGTTTTTCTCCCATTATTTGATGTTCTTTTCATAGTGCTTTTGAGCACTAACATGTCAGCATCTTTATAAGTACTGGCACAGTTCCTTGCTGCAGATGAGGAAGCAGGCGAGAGAGGTGCAGTCACTGCCTAGAGTCATCTGACCAAGAGGTGGCAAGGCCAGGATTCCCTCCAAGGCCACACTGATCCACTGTCTCATCCCCCTGAGCTGCAACCCAGGCCTTCTGCTCCGCACACCCTTATTGGGCACAAAGTGGGCCAGTTCCTCCTGCTGTGTTAGGAGAGAGCGCCTCTGTTATGTGACCTCTGACACATGTACCACTGTGTGGCCCCTGCAGGTTCCTACTGCAGTCTCTGGAAGATCTGGACACGAGTTTAAGGAAACTCAACTCCCGCCTGTTTGTGGTCCGGGGACAGCCAGCGGACGTGTTCCCGAGGCTGTTCAAGGTGAGTGTGTGTGCCCGAGAGGACAGGGAGATGCCACTCCTGGGTTTCCCTGCAGACTGAGTGGGATGCTGCACTGACTGAGGAAACGGAAATGTTGGGGCTGGTCTGGCCATCAGATGGCTGCCAGGGAAGCAGGAAGCAGAGGCAGCTGATGACCTCGCCAGCGGGATGGAAACTGTTAAGAAAAAACTTAGGCGAAGCCAGTGTCTTGTTGGAAAGCTCCCAGCTCAGTCCAGACATTCAATGCAGTAAGTCATTCCTCCCAGGGGCACTGGCTTCCTTAGATGTTCTCTTGGCTCAGGCCAGTGGGATTCGTTAGGGCTCCTGCTATGCCAGGACTTGAAGGGTGGGGCTTCCTGTCTAGCAAGAGCCATTTCCCATCTTGCTTTGCTCTGCGTCTAGAGAAAAAAGTTGCCTTTCCAAGGGTGCATCCCTGTCTCCTCCCAGTGATAAAATCTTCACTGGGGAGCCACATAGACTCCTGTGTGCCCAATGGGGACAGCAGCCCATTTTCTCCCAACTCTTTAAAAAGCGTGTTTTTAGGCCCAAATAGAGACAGAAGCACTCATGGGCAGAGGGCCGCAGGGCACTGCTTCATCCTCAGCAGCACATGATGGTTTTCATGTCCCTCCACCCCAGCTTCATACCTAGAGAAGTCTGATGTCAAGGCAGACAGCTTCATAAATATGTCATCGTTCACCTCTCTCCCTACGCCCCCACAATTACCCACTTGTGTACAAAACACTCAGTACTAGTAATTGCCAACATTCATTGAGGGCTGACTATGAGTCAAGACCATTCCAAGAGCTAACATGCACTAACCCACCTGCAGCAGCTCTGAGGGGCAGCACTGCTATCCCTGTCCTACAGGTGAAGAAACAATCATGGTCGTGAAGCTGGTAAGCAAGCCACTGACTTCAGAGCTGTGTCCTTACCCACCATACCGCATAAGTACATCTGCTGGGTTGGGGACATAGCTCAGCGGTAGATTGCTTGCCTGACAGCCCTTGGCCTGGGATTGATTCTCAGTACTAGGGAAAAATGTTGCCTTTCTTATCCTTCCGGATTGCTCCTCTCTTCCCTAGCACCTTGGAAGCCAACCCAGTTACAGCTAAGATAATGGACCACTCATTCATTCAGTCATTCATTGTATATTTATTGAGTGTCTGCAGTGTACTAGGGCCCATACCGGGTAGCAAGGTAAACAGTGATGAGTGAGACAGCATGGTTTCTGCTGAGTCCCCACTCTCATGGGAGCCGGGCAGGTAATGGGCAACTTCATCACCACGTGATAAATGCTGTGTTGGAAATAGGACAAGGTTTAGGAGAGTCATACTGAAGGAAGGAGAGTCTCATTTAATAATAGTATTAATGGTATTAATAATAATAGTAGTAATAATAATAATAGTATTAATGGTTATTAGACACAGGGTTATGGTGAGTACTTAATGATGTAGTCTAGGGCCAGAGATTTAGCTCAGGGGCATCGTGCCTGCCTGGCAAGCGCAAGGTCCTGAGTTCTAGCCCCAGTACCGGGAAAAAAAAAATGATGTAGTCTATATGATCCTGTAAGTACAGTACTTGGGCTATAGGAAGGGCTCAACAAATGTGTAGTGCTTTCTTCCTTGCATAAGGGATGCTGAGGACCCACTCCCACCAACCAGGGCTGTGTCAGGACCAGACCAGCCTGGGCACAGCTGGGATGCTTCTCCCTGGGTTCAGAGCCTTAAGGGACCGTGACCAGAGACTTGGGTTAGACTGTGTTTCTCTTCTTGCTAGTTACATGCTCTGAGGCTCTCTGGGGGTTGTCCCGGCCTGGCTTTCCTTCCTGTTGCTGAGAGACCTAGACATTCCCACTAGAAGTGACTGAAGACTTAGACTTCGCCTCTCAACCTGCGGCCACTGTGCTCTTAGTTTCTCCCAGCTCTGGACTACTTCCCGACCCAGAGAGCCAGAGCCTATTAGCTTAGTTTGCTCTTGGCCTCAGCAGTGTTGCTGTGGAAACCGTGAAGACACTTTACATAGCACGAGTCTGCCAAGAAAACTAGGCCACAAGTTTGCAGGCTATGAGGCGTCCTGGGAAAGGCTTGCTGCGCAGGCAGGAGATGGCGGTCCTGTCCCCTGCTGGCTCCATTGTGAGTCAGTGCCTCTTTCTGGACCGGGAGTCCCCTGGGAGCCCCATATTTCTAACTTCCTGCTGCATTCTCCTACCTCAAGGGCACAAAGAACTCACAGACCCCTGCTCTCCTGATCCTGCCACTGCCCTGCCCCTGGCCTTGTCATTCCACCGGGGCTGGACACTGGCTCTGTCTGCTCCCAGGAAGGAGCTCCTACCCAAGTGCCCCACCTCCCCAGACAGCACTGAGCATGACAGAGTCTCTCCCTGCAGGAGTGGGGGGTGACCCGCCTGACCTTTGAATACGACTCCGAGCCCTTTGGGAAGGAACGGGATGCAGCCATCATGAAGATGGCCAAGGAGGCTGGAGTGGAGGTGGTGACTGAGAACTCCCATACCCTCTATGACCTGGACAGGTAAGGCACAGGTGCAGGGTCAGGTGGCCCATTGTGAGGGCTGGTGATTCGGGCCCCTGCTGAGCGGAACTGAGGGAGGCTGGGCCATGGAGCCACTGGCTCCTGGGGTATGGCATTTTCCAAAGCTAGCGCCTCTAGAACAGGTCACGGGGAGCCTAGCCCGATTTGGGTGGCAAGGAGACTAATTAGGCCAAGGCATGGAAGAGGGGTAAACCTGCTCCTCACTCAGCTGCTGTCCCGTTTGTGCTTCGTGCACCGACTTCTCTCCTCCTCCTCAGTGCTGCCCTCTGTCCTTGGTGACCCTGCCTGGGACCCCTCCTAGCAGAACCCTTTCTCATAGACCCAGTGTCCCTACCGAGGATGAGTTCCTGGGCCCACTGGCTGTCTGGGTTTCTAGGCCATGCATCTTGATGTTGCTTGGGGGACTGTAGAGATCCCTGCAGGGACCTGGTAACCACAGAGCAACTGCCTCTGGGTGACAGACCTCTGTGCCTCCTCCCTTTTTTCCTCCTGCTGCTGCCAAGGCTGACAGCCACCTCTCCCTGCCCCCTTTCCCCAACTGGGCTGCCCGCCAGGGGGCTGGGTCACACAGCTGTGCACGTGAGCCGGGGCGCAGGAGGAGAGGCCGGGTGCGGAGCTCTTCCTGCGGCCATGTGCCGGGGTGGGGGGTGCTGCAGAGCAGTGCCAGCTGCCAGCTGTCAATCTCGGCTCACAGAGGGCAGCAGAGAGAGCAGACAGCAAATGACTTATCAGCCAGCTGGGTCTTGTATAAGCTGCTTCCTGGCCAGCAGGAGCCCAGCAATCTGGCGGCAAACCATTCCCCTTTATCCTTATGCAAACAACCTTCATTCTCTTTCACCTCAGTGCACCCAGTTGTGGAAAATACTTTGTGGACTGCAAAGCTCTTTAGGTATCAGTTGTTGCTGTTACTCCAGCCCCAGGCCCCAGCCTCTCTGCTCTAACAAGCAGGGGCCAGCAGGAGGAGGGTCTTCTAGAAGGGGACACGTTCTTCACAGCTCTCCACTCCTTCTCCGAGGCTCCTGCTGGGGGAGAGAGGGCCATGGTGTGGTCAGATAGGCCAAGGACCAAGAAGGCCAGCGGGGACTGTTCTGTGGTTAGAGAGACACGGTCAGTCTCTGTCTCTAGGCGGCTCCGTGCGGACACCAGGGAACCTGGCGTTGAGTCCCAGCTTTGGCCCTGCCTTGCTCCGTTACCAGAGGCTCCTGCTCCAGCTCTCTGGGCTTCATTTTCCCTCTCGGTAAAATGGAGATGCGGCCCCCACACCCCCTCCTCTCCACTTGGGTGGGACCTGTGAGTGGACTAGGAGAGCCACCCCAAAGCCTTCAAAGTCGGGTTCTTTTTGGGTGGGCAGGGACCTGGGACAAGGAGCCTTGGGAGTGACGCCAGGTGTGCTTTGGGTCCCCAGGATCATTGAGCTGAATGGGCAGAAGCCGCCGCTTACTTACAAGCGCTTTCAGGCCATCATCAGCCGCATGGAGCTGCCCAAGAAGCCGGTGGGTGCGGTGAGCAGCCAGCAGATGAAGAGCTGCCGAGCGGAGATCCAGGAGAACCACGATGACACCTATGGCGTGCCCTCCCTGGAGGAGCTGGGTGCGTGCGTCCTCCCAGGCCCCTTTCGTAGCTGCTTGCTTTCGTGGAAAGTAATTTATTGGGGTTTCCTTCTTTGTCAAATGAATGCATGTTATTATAGAAGGTTTGGAAAATACAGAACAACAAAGTGGAAATAACCTCTATTCCCCACCCTGCACACACCCTGGAGCGTGTCCTTCTGGTCTTACTGCTGTGCATGCTCATGCAGCCTTCTGTTTCTGGCTCCTGCTTCTTTTGTGTACCTCTCCCCTTGGACAGTAGAGGCATTCTCTGGTGTGGCATCAGTGGGCTTCTCAGTACAGGGTAACGAGCGTTGTCTCCATGCACTGACTCTGTGGTGCCTTCCTCTCTCCCCCTCCGCTTCGCCTCCCCTTTCTGTCTCTGGATCTGAACAAAGTTAACCTTTCTGACCTGAAAACCACACTCATTTCCAGCTCGTCTGAAAGGGCAGGAAGTCCAGGACTGTTCCGACCTGCCCAGAATGGTGAGGGACCCAGCCAGCGAAGGCAAGGGAAACAGGAGAAAATAATGATAATTGGAAGAGAATGGAGATGACCTAGAAAGTGCTAAAACTTTAAGGGTTATCTGTTGGTTTCAGTAGCGTCAAGAACAAGAACATACACAATTCAGTTCTCACAGTGTAAAGAAGAGGTCAGTGCGTATGAGCTATGAGCTGTGGCTGAAGTGGCCAGACCTCCAGGCCTGTGACTGGCTCCTCCTCTTCCAGGGTTCCCCACCGAAGGACTCGGCCCCGCTGTCTGGCAAGGAGGAGAGACAGAAGCCCTGGCCCGCCTGGATAAGCACTTGGAACGGAAGGTACGACCTGTTTCTGAGCCTTAGAACTGCAGGTGCCAGTAGCCATGCAGGAGGGCATATGGTACAGGTCCGGTCCGCGTCTCTTGGTGCCTCTTAGCACCAACTGATTAGAAAGTGAAGAAATCTCCTGGTGGCAAAAATAGGAACCACAAAAGCAGCAGCAATAGCAGCTACCGTTTAGAGAGTCCTTCCCTCCTGCTGGCCATGGGGTGGTGTATTTCTGGCTTAAGTACCTGCTTGCATTATTGCCTTTTATTTTTCTAACAGCCCTGCAAGGTAGGTATTAGGTGGCCCATTTTGTGGGTTACAGAAGTGGGGCTTACTGAGGTCACACAGTTAGTGAGTAGTAGAGTGAGACATTGGCCTGTGTGCTTGGAAACCTCACACCATATTGGCTTTCTTGTACAGCATCTGTGGGCAGGCTCCCCATACTAAGAGGGTATCTAGTCACAGGAGTCTGAGATTAATTACTTTGTGTCGATGTCCCACACGTGCCCCCCACCCCCACCCCGGCTGGGTCTCCTCCAGGGCTTTGATTTCCATTTGCTTGGACCTGGAGAGTAGACGGCCCATTCTCTTGGCAAGAGAAGAAACGAGGCCCTGGCCCAAAGGCACCCCTCAACCATGGCACACATCCCCCCACCCTGTGGCTGGGAGCAACTGACCGGGAACTGTTAGTTGCTGCTGCCCTACCTTGCAGCTGGTGCTTAGTCATAACTTCTATTGCTGCTTGGATGGCAAGGCATTGTGCCTAGCGGCCAGAAGAGAACAGGGCCAGAAGCAACCCTGCACACTGGAGGCATGAGACCAGAGTCCAAGGGCCGCAGGAGGACCAGCTTTCTCTTCGACATCAAGAACTTTAGCCAGCAATTCTTGGGCTCAGTTTGGAAACAAAAGTTGGACCAAAGGGGCAGAGGATGGAGATGACAAATGGAATGGCAGAATGAAAACTTTAAAATGTAGAGAGCTAATCTATGCCCTCATGGATTGTAGTTTTTGTTACCTTAAAAGCATTTTATAAGGACTGCCCCTCAGATCACCAAGGCAGGAGTTATTTTTCCACATCCCCCTGGAGGGTCTCTTCTGTCATGGGCCCTTATGTCATGGATCTGTTCTGTCCCAGAGGAGGCCAGAGGAAATACCATGTCCTGCATATCTGGGAGAGCAGAGGTGCTGGGTGGGCAGGAGTTGGACCTATCTAGGTCTGTTTTAACTGTTTTAGTCTCCAGATCTGATGTGAGCAGCCACTCACACCAGGATGTCCCAGCTGCTGCAAAGACTGCCAAACAAGATAGGAATGGAACCTGTCTCCAGAGTTTACCAGAGATGATGACATTAAACAAGGGATGATAGATGCCTTTAGGGTTAGGAAAGGAGAAAGGGAGCGTCGGGGATTTAGCTCAGTGGTGCAGCTGCTTGCTTTGCAAGCACAAGGTCCTGAGTTCGATCCCCGTACCAAAAAACAAAGGAAAGGGGATAGGGGCTATGGGAATGAAGAACACAAGGATCGTAGCAGTTGTTTCTTGTTGCAGCTGGCTTTCGGGAAAGGAAGGTTTCTAATGCACACAAGCAGGAGTCTAAATCATAGCCTTCAGTCACAGCTGGACCAGTGTCCAAAGAATGCTGTCAGAGGAGGGATCTGCATCTCTCAGTTCTGCTTTCCTCTGTATTAGTCCATTCTCAGGCAGACTTTCCTTGAGCAGAGGCAAAGGTGGTCACCAAGCTTATTGTCCATCTGTTTGGCAACACCAGAGGAAGGTTTGCCTCTTTCCCCAAAAGCTTCAGGAAGAATGCCAAGTGTTTCTCTCAGCCTGGCTTTGGCCGTGTGACTTTCCCTGACTCAGTCACTGTGGCTGGGATCGGGTCCTTTTCCTGGCTAGACTCATGTCATGAGCCCACTCCCCGAGTTGGGAATGGCCTTAGCTCAATAAGGCAGGTTGGTTCTCCACAAGAAAATAGATGCTGTTACCCAAAATGACGAAGCCAACTGTATAATCTTTACTGCTGGGTTGCATATAGTAGATGAGGACAAGCACCCTGCCATAAAACTTCAGTGGTGACACATTATCCATTCATGACCACCAGCACCACAGTCAGAGACGTTCAAGCCTCGCGTGCCCTGTAGACTTCCCAAAGGGTCAGCCCCGAGTCCAGTCCAGCCTCTGCTATGAGCCACCCATTTGCTGCTGACGCAGGACAGAGAGACTCACTGAACTGCACCATGAGTGTCCAGCCAGCATGTCCAGCCTGGAAAACTCCACCGGTCCAATGGCCTGGGTTCTCCCACAGAAAAATGCAAAGGAGAAGACAGAGGTGGCAGCAAGTGTGTGCATTTGTCGTAGTCACTTTCTTGTTACTAAGACACAGATTGAACACCCACAACATAAAGGAGGAGAGGTTTATTTGGGCTCATAGTTATAGTCCATGGTTGCCTGGCTCCAACCAGGCATGGCAGAATGGCATGGCAGAATGGCATGGCAGAGGGGCATAGTGGAGGAAGAGCTGCTCATGTTGTGGCAGCCAGGAAACAGAGAGAGGAAGGGGGAGCAGGGAGGGAGATGGACCCCAAGTCAGCCCACCTGATCCCACCTCCTACCAGCAGGTCAGCTATAGCACCCCCTGGTCCAGTCCCTTCTAGAAGCCCCACAGGTGAGCCCATGAGGCCCTCAGGGGACATTCTCCATTTAAACTGTAACACAATGAAAACAAATTTAAGTAGCATTTAAGTTGTTTAAATACCAGTGCTAAACATGCCTGTAAACATTTCAAGTGTTCAGGAAGTAACCATAAAAATAAGGGTTCGGAGTCACTTGTTAGGGAAAGGATGACGGTTCTGGAGTGATGATTACATGGCTGTTTGCCTTGGAATAATTCATTAAGCTTCATGTTTATGAGGGTTTCTGTCTCTGGTTCACTTAAAATAGATCGAAACAATACGAGGCAGGGCATTGGGACGGCCTAAGCTGTGCAGACAGAGATACCCAGTGTCTGTTCCCAGTGCTTAGGTGGGGACCAGAAAGAAGCAGCAGCTAACTGGGTAGCAGCGGGAGGAAGACCAGCTCCAGGCAGAGGGCTTGTGTATTGGAGGGCTGCTAAGAGCAGGGTGCAGAGGGCCGGGGATTTAGCTCAGTGGTTTTGGCGCCTGCTGTGCAAGCGCAAGGACCCGAGTTCGATCCCCAGTACCAAAAAAAGAGCAGGGTGCAGAGAGAAGAGCAGCAAGAGGCAAAGCTGTAGGCGTGGGGGCTTCTAAGCCATGTGATGTGCGCCAGATTTGGGCTTCTGTCCTAAGAGCAACAGGATCGCTCTGGGCCCAGCTGGAGCAAGAGTGAGGGGCCGAGAGTAGGTACAGGGGGCCAGTCAGGGACTATTGCCATTGTCTACATACAACCTTAGACAGGACCACATTGGTCACAGTTGAGAATATACAGGAAAGGCAGATTTAAGAAATATTTGGGCAGCGGAATTGACAGGAGAGGGGACAGTCAGAGGTGTTGGCCAGGCATGTGCTTTGGACATGGCAATGTATTTTCGAGGGGGGCAGTAGGTTTAAAAGCCATGTGTGGTGGAACACATCTGTAATCCCAGCTCTTGGGAGGCTGAGGCAGGAGAATCACCACAAGTTTGAGGCCAATCTAAACACATAGTAAGTTCAAGGCCAGCCTTAACTACATAGCTGTCTCAAAAAAAAAACTAAGTAGAGGAGGTGGAGCCTGCGAAAGGCCCAGAGCAACCAGCCAGCTAGGAGGCAGCTAGGAGAGTGTGGAACCACTAAAGCCCAAGGAACAGAGGAAATGAGACTGCAGGCAGTTGGCTACAGTGCCACTGTGAGATCCAAAAAGACAAGAACAGAAAATACAGGATTCAGTGGCATGAAAGTCACAGGTGGCACCAGCATTGTGTAGTACCAAAGGCAGGAGCCAGCCGCTAGGAGTGGGCTAGAAGTGGAGGTGGAGGGGAAATGGGCTGTGAAGCCGTGGGCTGTGAAGGAGAAAAGAAGGCCTGGGATGGAAGCCCACGGGGTACCAGAAGTCCTTTGTTTTTGGTTTGGTTTAGTTTGGTTTGCAGAGAGGAGAAATGAGATCACTCTGCAGTGTTCTTGGAGTGGGGCCTGTAGAGGAGAGACTGAGTGAGAAGAGAAGGAAGAAGAAGGGACATGAGGGAGGAGGAAGAGAGACGCAGGAGATGATGCAGATGCTGCGGCTGGAAGCTGAGCTGTGTCCCACCTAATGGCTTTGGTGTCCAGACCAGAAGGAAGGACAGTTGTCTGTGAAGGGTGGCAGGGGGCTCAGGAGGGAGTAAGGAATGTGCGAGGGTGGCAGGAGGTGAGAAAGGGAAAGTAGTTCTTTATTAGTAATGAAAGAGATGGGAGTCGGTCAGAAGCCCATCCACGACCCCAAGGGGCACAGAGCCCTCGGGTTTCCTGTCCTCGCCGCCAGAAGGTGATGTAAGTGCTGCTCGGCAGCTGCTGAGGGTGGATGAACAAGCGCGTGGAACTCGAGGCTGGAAAGTAGAGCACAAGGCCAGGGCTATTGATGATAAAACAAGATCAGCAAACAACATTAGCTGGCAAACAGCCCCAGAAATAAATGATTCTGTTGGTCCCAGAAGTGGGTCGGAAGCTCCCTGCTTCACCCGGCCGCTGCTGAACAGTGATGAGAAGTTACTTGATGTCTGAGATACATCAGCAACCTCAGGCCCGCTGCTCGGGGCAGGAGCAGAGCACACAGGAGGCTTTTTCTTCCTTCTAGACAGTTATAGCTTGTTCATTGCCTTCAGAATCCTTTCATGTCTCATTTAATCCGCAGAGATGGGAAGTTTTGTTCTTATTTAATAGATGAGTAGCTGAGGGACTAAATAACTCATTCCCGATCGGACTACCATTTCTTTTCTCTTCTTTGCTTTTGGAGGGGTGAGTGAGTGGTACTAGGGATTGAACCCAGTGCTTTGCACTGAGCTTCATGCCTAGCCCTTTTATTTTTTATTTTAACTTTTTGAGACAGAGTCTTGCTAAATTGCCTACCTTGGGTTAGAGCATGCAATCCTACTGCCTCAGCCTCCCATAGTGCTCCACTACACCTGGCCTCATACCACAGACAAAGTATCACGCTCAAGCAAGAGCTTGAGCCTCGGTGTCTGCCTGGTGGTTCCATCTCATCTGCATGAAGCAGCAGGAGGTGCAGTGTTCAAGTCCTGACTCGGTGGCTTGCTGTTCCTTGGCCAAAGCCTTAGCCACCAGGGGTGCAGGCTTTTCCCTCTGTAACATCCAGACCTTTCCTTTTGTCTGCTTCACCCCTCCCCCTGCAGGCCTGGGTTGCCAACTACGAGAGACCCCGAATGAATGCCAACTCCCTGCTGGCCAGCCCCACAGGCCTCAGCCCCTACCTGCGCTTTGGCTGCCTCTCCTGCCGCCTCTTCTACTACCGCCTGTGGGACCTGTATAAAAAGGTGAGCACAGAGGGCCACATGCCCTCCCCATTTACAGCCAGGTGGGCCAGGGCCTCTGGGCCCTCAGGCACCCTGCAGAAGGCTCTTCCCTGTGGCCCTGGGTGCAAGGCTAGGTCCTGGACCTGCCTGGTCCAGAGGGGTTGGGGAAGAGTCAGTTTCCAAGAGGGAGCAGAAGCCAGGCGTAGTGGCACATGTGTGTAATCCCAGCACTCAGGAGGCTGAGGCAGCAGGATCGCCATGAGTTCAAGGCCGGGCTGAACTACATAAGACGCTGTCTCAAAAAAAAAAAAAAAAAATTAACCAAGAGGGAGCAGAGCCAGACACACCACAAATCACCAATCTAAGTAAACCTTCATGTCCCTGTTGGTGGAAGCACAGGAGGAAAGCAGGCCTCAGGATGTGACTGTAGAGGTGGCAGATCTGTGGACAGAGCGCGGCGGAGCAGGGTCATCAGGGTTGGGAATGTGGAGGGGGAGGCTGGAGCCAGGCCCCAGCAGAAGGACGCAGGGATGGAGGGAATGGCTGAAGGGCTGTATGCCTGGCCATGCCACACAGACAAGAGGCAGATGACCCTGTGGTGAGCCACCCCCGAAGGAGAGAGGACAGCATGCCCAGCCTTCCCATTCCTCTGATCACCCAGTGTCTACATCTTTTTTTTTTTTTGGTACTGGGGATCGAACTCGGGTTCTTGTGCTTGCTAGGCAAGCGGCGGCACCACTGAGCTAAATCCCTGGCCCATACATCTTTTAATCTCATTTCTCCATCCTTGCCAATATCAGGACTTTGTGGTGTGGGGAGGCTTTGCAAGTGCGATGGGGAGTCTTGTGACCGTGGGGAGTCTTGTGACCGTAGGGAGTCAGTATTTGTGTGGAGGTCTGATCTCCTGATTCCTTCATGTTCCCAGATGCATAGTATTTTATATAGCTTATTTATCCAAATCTAGACTGAGCGTTTTTTATGTGTGAAGAAGCAAAAATTCCCCTGGACTTTCTTGAAAGTGGATCTGGCCACAGGAACTCCTAGAACAAGGATCACAGCCAGTCTCAAGGAGTTTGGGGCCTGTAGTGGATTCCTGGGACAGTGTCCCTCTCCCTGGCACCCCTCTGCAGCATTCTTCGTGCTCAGAGCAGTGGCCTGGCATGGGCAGGACCTGGGTGTTGGGTTCGTAGGCACCCAGTAGCTCTTGTTCTAGGGGATGATCCCTCTGCGCAGGGTCGGGGGAGCCGCCAAGGTGTGGAGGCTTGATTCCTTTCTGGGCAATAGCCGAGTGCCATGGCGCTGAGAGCCTGCAGCTGTTCATGGCTGTGCTGCCCCACCCGCAGGTGAAGCGGAACAGCACGCCTCCCCTGTCTCTGTTTGGGCAACTCCTGTGGCGAGAGTTCTTCTACACAGCAGCCACCAACAACCCCAGGTTTGACCGCATGGAGGGGAACCCCATCTGCATCCAGATCCCCTGGGACCGCAACCCCGAAGCCCTGGCCAAGTGGGCTGAGGGCAAGACAGGCTTCCCTTGGATTGACGCCATCATGACCCAACTGAGGCAGGAGGGCTGGATCCACCACCTGGCCCGGCACGCCGTGGCCTGCTTCCTCACCCGCGGGGACCTCTGGGTCAGCTGGGAGAGCGGGGTCCGGGTGAGTGCCCTCCCAGCAGCAGCTGGCCTGTCCCCTTGCTCAGGCCCAGCAAGGGAAACCACACCGGGCTGGGGATGGGGTGGGATCCCTGGGTCCAGGAGAACCCCTCCAAACTCTTCGAGGCCAGCCCTGGGCAGAAGGGCTCTGGCTCCTCAGGGTGCTGCAGTGACTTGGGAGGAACTTTGGCAGGGAGTCCCCAAGGATTGGGGGCTGATTGTGCCCCTCCCCATTAGGTATTCGATGAGCTGCTGCTGGATGCGGACTTCAGCGTGAATGCGGGCAGCTGGATGTGGCTGTCCTGCAGCGCTTTCTTCCAGCAGTTCTTCCACTGCTACTGCCCTGTCGGCTTCGGCCGCCGCACGGACCCCAGTGGGGACTATATCAGGTAGGATGCAAGCCAGACTGTCAGGCTTCTGACTACTGTAGCCCCTCCTAGGATGGAGGGACTAGGTGTGCTGACAGGCCGTCCTGTGTGTGTTTTAGGCGATACCTGCCGAAATTGAAAGGGTTCCCCTCTCGGTACATCTATGAGCCCTGGAACGCCCCAGAGTCGGTTCAGAAGGCAGCCAAGTGCATCATCGGTGTGGACTACCCACGGCCCATCGTCAACCATGCCGAGACCAGCCGGCTCAACATTGAGCGCATGAAGCAGATTTACCAGCAGCTCTCTCGCTACCGGGGCCTCTGTAAGGAGCTGCTGTCCACCCCATCTCCAAGCTTCCTCAGGGTGGGACAGCACCTGCAGGCCCAGAGGGTAGATGGGGGTCTCCAGCTATCTGCCGAGGGAGCCGAGTGCCCTCTCCCAGAGGCTGGCAGACTTCCGAGGACAGGATCCTTTGGGCTGGACTGGATTGGACCTCCTGAGTATTGGGGGCAGAAGAAAAGGATACAACCTCGGTGTCATGGTCCTGTCCCCCTGCCTGTTTCTCCTGCCCTGCCACCCTCCTGGGGAACTGATTCCTTCTCCCCCTGTCCCCCAGGTCTACTGGCATCTGTCCCCTCCTGTGTGGAAGACCTCAGCCACCCTGTGGCAGAGCCCACCTTGAGCCAGGCCGGGAGCAGCAGCAGCACGGGTGAGTGGCAGTGGCCGGCCTGTGCCGCCTGTGGCCCCCCACGCCCTCTGCCTCCACCTCCGTCAGGCAGGGCTGAGGCCGAAGTGAGTACTTGCCTGGCAGAGCTTTTGCATTTGCCGGACAGACAGCGGTTAGGGAACCAAGAAAGACTGGTTCAGATAACAGGGGCTTGGGCACAGTGAAGGTGAGGCGCTTGGTATAGAGGGGCTGCAGGGAGGGGTCCTTGGAGCCATGTTAGAGGGGAGCAGCCAGGAAACACCTCTCTGAACAGTGGCTTATTCCCTACATCATTAGCAGGAGCCAGCCCTTCTTAGAACTGCAAAAAGAACATTGTTGGCAGAGGTAATGGCCCAAAATGGCCCAGAATAGGAATGAGCAGATCCCATCCACTGGAGAGGAAGGGAGGCGGGCAGCCACGTGGCAGTGCTGGTGTTAGGAGCCAGGCCGAGCTCCTGCAGGCTCTGTGTCAGCGTCAGTCTGTCTCCCGAGCACTCCAGGGTGCACCAGGACCCACAGAGGCTCCACAGCCCCTCTGGACTGCTGGAGTGGGTGGGGGGCAGGGGTGGGGACAGGGGGTGAGCAAGGAGGTGACTGCAGTGTCCAGGCAGGAGATAGGCAGGTGTGCTGCGCCCTGCGCCTCCCTGAACCACTAGGGTGAAAATCAGGACAGTAATGTGAAACTGGGGTGAAGTTTGAAGGTCTTTCCAGTCTGCCTGCCAAGCTGACGCTGAGGGAGTGGCCTGTCCATTGCCACTCTACAGACCACTCCAGGCTTGCACAGGGCTTGCCTCACCTTCAGAGCGAGGACAGCAGACAGGCTGAGCAGTCTGGCTTAGAGCCATTGGATCTGAGGCCCAGAAGCCAGCCTGCTGCCACCAGGCCTGGCCAGCCCTCCTCAGTGTCTCCAGGCGAGGTCACTGCTGCAGGGAAAGCCAGGCTGGGTCCTAGGCCTGCCTGGTCCAGAGGGGTTGGGGAAGAATCAGTTTCCAAGAGGATGCAGAGCCGGGCACACCCCAAATCACCAATCTAAGTAAACCTTCATTTCCCTGTTGTGTGGAAGCACAGGAGGAAAGCAGGCCTCAGGATGTGACTGTAGAGGTGGCGGATCTGTGGACAGAACGTGGTGGGGCAGGGTCCTCGGGGTTGGGAACATGGAGGGGGACGCTGGAGCCAGACCCCAGCAGAAGGGCGCAGGGATGGAGGGAATGGCTGAAGGGGCCTCGGGCTCCCTTTCCCCACAGAGCAGTGCTGCACAGCATAGGGGGCCATCGAGACTGTGTGCACCATCTCTGATTCTTTATCACGCTTCCCTGCAGGCCCCAGGTCACTACCTGATGGTCCAGCATCCCCCAAACGAAAGCTGGAAGCAGCTGAGGAGCCACCTGGGGAAGAACTCAGCAAACGAGCCAGGGTGGCAGAGCTGCCCGCCCCCGAGCCCACGAGCAAGGACGCCTGAGAGTGAGTGACCTCACTTAATCCTTGAGAAGGAAGGTGGGAGCAGGGTGGGGCTTGGTTTGGAAACTGCTCCCTGGTGGCTGAAGGTCAGACCTCAGCTAGACACAGACCTACGTGGGGACTGCATGGTGTTTAGGATTTCAGCTCAACATTGCCACCATTCTGACATCTATGCCTTCTAAATTTTGAAAGGAAATTTATTTTTGTTGTTGTTTGTTTGGTTTTTTTTGGTACCGGGGATCGAACTTGGGACCTTGCGCTTTCGAGGCAGGTGCCAAAACCACTGAGCTAAATCCCTAGCCCTTGAAAGGAAATTTAAAAGTTGAAGCCCTTGGTTTTGTTTGCCAGTGAAGGGAGAAGCAAATTATAATTTGGGTGCTTTCTACCTGTTAAAGTGAGTCAGAGCCAACAAAAGAAGAGACCTGGGCATGAAGCTGTCGGGGACCAGCTGTGTGGCATGGGCAACCAGCAAAGAAGGGCCGGGCTGTGCTGAGGACAGTGGCCCTAGCCCTGCCATCATCTTTGCCTTTCATAGCTGCTCCTCTGTTCTCACCTTTTCCCCAGGCTGCAGCTCCGTGCATCCCTGGCAGACACGTCTTTTTTGGAAACCTTCTGAAGGTCATACAAAATGTCTCCTCCTTCCCCAAAGCAGGAAAGGCAGTTTATGCCTGTCTCAGGAGTTATAAATTGCTGTCCTCCCTGGGTCATCCTGCCAGGCTGTCCCTTGGCTGCCAGTTCTGCGCCAATAGAGTGGAAGGTGACTTCTCAATGGAGCTGTTTGGTTCTTTTCTCCAGATCTCTCTCATTTCTGGGCACACTGGGGCCATCTGGTTGGGGGTCTAGGTTTGTATGCCCGGGGAGATGGTGAGCCTTTCTGGGCTCCTTGACATTGGCACTGCTGATGAGCAGACTGTCTGTCTTGTCCCCGGGAGGACCAATCCGGAGATACTACTCTCCCGGTTATCTTGTCCCTGTGATGCTGAGCAGAATTCATTCTGTACTTCGAGTCTGGAACTTGCCAGGCTGCTGCTCTGACTTTCAGGCAAGTTCAAAGAACAGAGAGGTTAAGTGTTTGGGTCAATCTCAGCTTGTGCTGAGATCACAAGCATGCACCACCATGCCTGGCTGGGATATTTTTTAAAAACTTGATCTCATGAACTTGAGAGTAGAATGTTGGTTAGCAGAGGCTGAGGAACGTAAGGGAGGATTGAGTGGGGAGAGGTTACCAGCTGGTGGTGTCCAGTACAGCATGAAATTATTGCCAGCAGATGTGTGAGAAAGCCTAAAACATATGTAGTGTGGGGTGCTGTCCCTCCTAGTGGTCTAACAGCCTGCCTAGAAAAAAGAAGATAAATAGCCCGTGACTCCTAGGCGAGTGATAGGGATCCAAAGGGAGCCCGTGATGGGCTGGCGTGATGAGGGGACACACCACAGGTTGGCGCTAGGAGCCTGAAAGATGAATTGAATTCAGGCAGTGAGGAAGGTATTTTGAACAAGAAAAAACAGTTTAAGGTTTACATGATTTTTGTACAAACTACATAGCCACTATAATTAGGTTGTTGTTGCAAAGATTAAATGATTGAATTTACGTGTCAGTTAGGACTGTCTGGGACCACTAGTACATGTGGAATATTCCTAAGCCAGAACTCCAAAATGATCTGAAATCCAAAAAGGTTTGAGCGAGGTGTGGTGCACGCCTGTAATCCCAGCACTCAGGGAAGCTAAGGCAGGAGGATGGAAGTTCAAGTTCAGCTGTGTCAAAATAAGACAATTAAAAAGGGCTGAGGATTAGCTCAGAGCAAAGGCCCTGGGTTCAGTCTGTAGCACCACAAAGGAAAAAAAGATGTTTTGGATTTTGGATTTTCCAATTTGAGATGCTTGGCCAGTAACATTTATGCAAATATTCCAAAATTCATAAAACTACAAAATCAAAAACAGTTCTCCTCCCAAGTATTTCAGACAAGGGCTACTCAGCCTGTAATACAAAATTCAACTATGTGACTAACACAAGTGGGTGTGTATCTTTGTTTTTTTTTGTACCGGGGATCAAACTCAGGACCTTGCACTTGCAAGGCAGGCGCAGCGCCACTGAGCTACATCCTGGCCCCATAAGTGTGCGTCTTTCCCACCTAACCAGAGACCCGGAGGGGAGCCTTGGTGGTTTGGGTTTGGTGGCTTCATGATCCCCAAGCCAGCTCTTCTGATTTTCTCTTGACTGCTGCTTGCTGGTCCCACAGTGCCGCAGCTTCAGCCATTGGTGCCTCTTCCAGGCAGGCAACGGAAGGAGCAGCAGGAAGGGCTATACTCACTCAGTTAACGTATACAGTATCAAGTGTTCCCGATTCCTGGGACGACATTGGGGGCGTGGTTGTGAGCCAGTCCTATGGGCCCTCTCCTCCCTGTGCACAGCAGCTGGGGACACAGACAGCGAATGCGATCTTGTGGGCAGCAGGAGCCCATGAGTGCTGTGCAGGAGGGAGGTGGGAAGACTGCACAGGTTGGTGCATGGGGGAGGCTACGGGGTTGTAATGTGGGGGTTGCTGGTCCCAGGCCCGAACTTTGAGGCCCTAATCCACTGTCTGAGCCGGGGAGCAGATCTAGGTCCCTTGGCGGGAGGTGTGGGTACTGACAGACACTAACACATCTTCGTAACACGCCAGATGTGTAGCCAGGTAAGTCCTCAGTAGACCGAAGTTCTTGTTATGATAGGAATGGTTAGGATTATTAGAGGACGTAAGGTCTTAGTCCTGTCTGATCCTGGAGGGTTGAGGTCAGGCAGAGGGCCCATGGGGAAGTCGCTGGGCGCAGAGAAGCCATATGAGACAGGGATGATCAGACTGGCATCAGGGAGGCCAAGCATTTGCTGGGCCTTGCAGAAGGATGGGTGACGAGGGTGCCAGTCGAGAGGCAAAACGGTGATGCCAAGTGACAAGGTCGGTGCAGAGGGCACGCTGGTCCTTGCCTTGTAGCCCAGGAGACTGTGTCCACCTGCTGTGCCCTTAGGGACTGCTGCTCTGTTTCCCATGCCCTGAAGGGGTGGCTCACTGTGTAGTTGGACCAGGTGTGGCTGCTGAGGGTGGGAGCAGGGCCAAGAGGTCAGAGGGTGGGGCAGAAACAGACCTGTCACTGAGAGCCACTGTCACCTGCCCTGCTCGCTGGGTTCAGTCTACATGTTAGAGCGAGAAAAGGAAACGCTGTGTGTGGAGTCTGCACAAGTGCACCACGTGGAGGCATGTGCTTCTCAGGGTGCCTTTGATTATTGCTGCTGTCGGAGCCGAGCAGAGGCTGTCAGGCCCAGGTTGACGCAGGGTTATATGGAGAAGGGGAGACTGTCCCTCCACGCGCACACACACCCTGTCATGCTTCGCCCTGTGGCTTGGGCTGGACAGGTAGCCTTTCTGACATGCTTTTAGGTATGAGGGATGCGTGATTGTTCTTTCCAACCCGAAGGCTTAGGACCTTAGCTCCAAGTCCAAGAACTTCGCTGTTCTGGTAGTTCCCATGCCTCCAGCTCGTGCCAGTGCACAGGGTGGGCTGTCGTTTACAATTTCAACTGGTACTGTAGAAAAGCATGTCTGGTGTCAGTGAGTTCATGCTCACCGCAGATCCGCACCATGTGAGTGTCCTGGCTCTAGTTTTATTTTGCAGTATTCACTAAACTGCAAAACAAGCCAGCTTCCAAATACGCAGCTCTCAGTTCGGCTGCTTCCCATAATCCCCTAGCTGCTGACTGCTCAAGATGCCATTAGCCTGGCATTGTGCACAGATTGCTCTTGCTGGTGCAATTATCTTCCCTCGGGGAGCAGCGCGAGTGTTCCCTCCACCCCCCGCAGGTACACAGTGAACTCCTGAGCAGCCCGGCTTCGTACAAAACGTTCCCCTCCCTGGCCCGGGCTGGCTTCACCCTGGGGCTTTGTGGGGTGAAAGTGGCTCCTGGGCTCTCCTGACTGCCGCCTGACCTTTATTCAGTTGTGTGCTCTCTCCTTGTGGGACAGTCTATAAAATGTGCTCAGAGGCAGCCTGGCATTCACACCAGTGCCTTACTTTCCCCGGCACTTAATAGGTGGCTGCCGCCCAGCTGGGGACCCACCTTTTCTTACCTGAGGCTGCGGTCCAGGAAGGTGAGGCACCTGCTGGACAGGGGAAGGTGCCCTGCGGAGGTGCCCTGTCCTCACATACCCTCATACCGCACACGTCCCTTGGGGCTGGAGTCATGGGCAAGAGGGGCTGGCAGATTTGGGTTTCTTGGTAGCATCTAATGAGTGGGAAGGGCTGGGTGTCTCGGAGGCCAGAGGGGGACAGTCATTAACAGCCTCTCTGTTCTAGCTCCCTCTGTATCCTTGGCACTAATGACAGAGTGAGCGAGGAGGGGGACAACCAAGAGTGATTTTGCAGGGCCAGCTCTCCCAGTTGATTTTCCCCTTGGAACCTCTCCCTTAGCTGTTGTTCCCTTTCCTGTAGTGCCACGTCATCATCTTCCTCCCCAGCCCCCCCATTCTGCAGACAGGTGCCTGGGCTGGAGAGCAGGAGCGAGGCTGCGCAACCAGAGTACCTAGTTGGACTTGCTTTGTTGACAGGCTGGTTCTCCTGAGCCTTGGCATTCTAGGTGGTGGCTTTGAGCCCACTGCAGAAGGGCTTGGGTGACCAAGGTTGTCTGCGGCCAGCCTTTTGAGCCTACCCAAAACTAAATCATGTCTGAGCCGGCATAGGTCTCTGTTATCATTACACCTCACTCCCTCCTCTTCTAAGTGGAAACATTGGCTCCTGTGCTTTTTGTAGGTGCCCCACCTTTGGGGTCCTAATGGAGGATGGAGCCTCTTCCCATGTGCATCAGAAAATGTGCACATGGTCCCTATGCACGATGGAATACTACTCAGCCAAAAAAGAATGAAATCCTGTCACTTGCAACAATGAGGATAGAACTGGGGATCTTACATTAAATGAAATAAGCCAGGCCCAGAAAGACAAGTACCAAATGATCTCACTCATACATGGATTGTTTTGTTTTAAGATGAGTTCTCACTGTATATAGTTCAGGCTGGGCTTGAATTCACTATGTAACCCAGGCTGGCCCCAGATTTGCAGCAGTCCTCCTGCCTCAGCCTCCTGAGTGCTGAGATCACAAGCGTGCACCACCATGTCTGGCTGGAATATTTTTTTAAAACTTGATGTCATGGGGCGGGGGATTTAGCTCAGTGGTTTTGCTGCCTGCCTCGCAAGTGCAAGGACCCGAGTTCGATCCCTGGTACCAAAAAAAACAAAACAACAACTTGATGTCATGAATTTGAGAGTACAATGGTGGTTAGCAGAGGCTGGGGAAGGTAGGGGAGGAGTGAATGGGGAGAGGTTGACCAGCAGGTGCTGGATGGAGAGGGATACAGCTCCAGTGTGGCATTGCACAGCAAGGCACCTGTAGATAACAGTCACATACTCTCTGTTTCAGAAAGCTAGAGGAAAGGGGGAAATAATAAATGGGCTGGGGTGTAGCTCAGTGTAGAGCACTTACTGCACAGGCTCTAGGCCCTGGCTTCAATCCTCAGCACCACCATAAATGAATGAATGAATGTTTAAGGAAATATGTATGTTTGACCTGCTTGGAGCAATATACAGTGTATACATATCCCGGCATCACATGGGGCCCATAAATATGTGTTGTCTGTGTGTCAGTTAAAAATTAATTTAAGTTTTTTTGTTTTGGTTTTGATTTTGCTACCAGTACTGGGGATTGAACTCGGGACCTTGCGCTTGCGAGGCAGGCGGCAGAACCACTGAGCTAAATCTCTGGTCCTCTAGCTGGCACTTTGAAGGGGCAGTGTTCAGTCAGCCCTGTCCCCAGGAGCCCACGTAGCTCACTCTGCCAATTCATCCCAGTTCCCAGTGTCAGGGTCCCCAGGGAAGCAGCCAGAGGAGCTCGAGTCTCTGGCAACCAAGCAGCCTCCCGAATGTTCCTTTAGCTCTTGTTTTTCTCTTCCAGTTGCAGAGCCACTGCTCCATGAGCAAAGCCTGGGTGCCCAAGCAGCTACCGTGGCCAGAGTGCAACCCACCAAGAAGCTGAAGAAGCTGATCACCGACGGAGACAGAGCGTGTGTGTGTGTGTGTGTGTGTGTGTGTGTGTGTGTGTGTGTGCGCATACATATTTACACTCATGATCCTGAGTGCTGCCTGGGCTGGAGGAGTGCCTGGAGCAGCCACCTGGCCTCCAAACCTAAGGCTAGAGGTCATGGCCCTGACCTTCCACCTTGTCTGAGTAGGACGTAGTAGAAGGACCCTGCTGGGGAAGAGCAGAAGGCCCACATTTCGCGGCTCTTGTCCAAAGCACAGGATTCTAGTGGCGGCCGGAGTCCTGCTGAGTTCCCACTTGGACGCAGGAGACGGGGCAGGCTGGAACGGGTGGGTGCTGCCCAGACGTAGCCACCTGGCCTGTCTTCTCTCCTATTTTAAAATCCCCTGCCACCGATCCTCATCTGGGACTGAGGACAAGGCTCTAGACAGATCTGGAAAGTCTCTGCTCTCAGATGGAAGTATGCCCAGATCCCTGACTGGTGTAGTAGCCAAGGAAACACATCTGCCCTTTCAGGCTTGGACCCCAAAGTGAGGAACAGAATCCCAGCTGTCACTGTTCCACCCCCAGAAGCTGAAAGCCAGTGCAGAGCCTACCCAGGAGCTGTGCAGGGGCTGGCCTCCGAGAGCTAGTCCCTCCACCAGGAGACTAGGCCAGGTGGCCACACTGCAGGACTTCACGGTGCTCAGTGAGGACAGCTGACGGCCAGCCAGGGAGGCCGGCTCATCATTGTTCTGTAGGCTTCCAGGGCCTGCCACGGGCTGGTCCATATCCAAGCTGCCGTGTCAGCTGTCCCAGGAGACAGCTGACAGAGGGACTGGGTGGGGGACTGCCAGAGGCACTCACACCCAGCACACCATCCCTTCCAGAGGCAATAGGCAGGGGTCTGCACCAGAGCAGCCAGGCCTGCATTCCAGGGATGGCCTGGGCCTCTGCTCCCCGCACTGTCACAGGCCTGTGCTGAGGAAAGCCATGAGAAGGCCTATGTGGCCAGCTAGAGCAAGTCTTCCTTCCACCCCGTGGCCTACACTTGAGCCACAGAGCGTGCACCTGTGTGTGTGTGTGTGTGTGTGTGTGTGTGTACGTGCGTGTGTGTGCGTGTGTGCACGTGTGTGCCCACGCATGCACAGAGCTGAAAGGCTAACTAGCTCCTGTTGGGTTTGGTTTTCACGTGTCACATTAAGCTGGCCTCTGGGCCTCTTCCTCTCTACCTCCCCTGTGACCTTTCCAGCCTCAGAGCTGTTGACTCCCATGGTCCGCCTTCACTGTCTCATCCTCAAACCAGAACCCTGGGGCAGGCTCCTGTCTCCTCAGTGTCCAGCACATTGACAGGCTTCTTCCTGAGATGGCCTCTAGAGTCCCGCTCTTCTGTGTGTCACCCTCACCAGAGATGTCCTGTAATCATGTGGGGAAACGGCATAGGTGATGGTGTTTTCAGAGCACTGGGTGGGGGCTTTCCTTCCCTCAGCCCCAGCCGGGAGGAAGGAGAGTGGGGCGAGCCTGGAAGGTCAAAGGCTGAGGGCCAGACTCAGTATTTATTTAGCAGCACCTTCAGCTACCAGGATGATTCCCTTCTCCTGCCTATTGGATGGCTCTCTTCCCCTCTCTGCCATTCCCAGCACACTGGCCCATTCCCAGGACAAGCTTCCTGTGCAATGGAGCGGTCCACTCCTGGAGCTCTGGGGAGAGGTGTGGTGGCCTGGAGCTCCATGATGGCTCATGCCTCCCTCCTGGCCCAGGTGTCTCTGGGGCTGCCATCGAGCAATGCCCCAGACCCTGATCCAAGGACCAGCTCAGGGAAGAGACAGTTGCAGGCAAAATGCACTTTATAGAGATTTTCGATTGCTGGGAAGGTGTGTTTCTCCCACAGTTTGTGCATATTCACTTGTTTTATAAACGTCTGATCCTGTCTGAGCAAAGCTGTGCTGTTGTCAGTCTTATGGGAGGTCTGGGACCAGGGCTTGGTCAGGCTGAGCCTTTGAGAAGCTTCAGGCCAAACCGCCTTGGTTCTCCTGGAGCCAGGAGCCTCTTATGTCTCCCTGGAGCGGGAGGCACCCACGTGAGGTCCTGCTGGGGCAGAACAGTGCGCACCACTCCGGGCCCAGGCCGAGGTTCCAGAGTGCTGCCTGCGGTGACAGCCTCGCAGCCCCTTTGGACCTCCCCAACTGGGGTCAGACTGGCTGGACTGCAGCCTGTCCTTTACCCCAGTGCACTGCTTAAGCTACAGCTGTACACTGAGAGGAGGGCTCTGATGACATGGCTGGGATTCTCGCAGTCATGCCTGGGGCCCGAGTGCCATGTGCATGGACTTTCCTGAGGGGAAGGGACTCTGGCACAGCCAAAGAAACCAGTCTGCCCTCCACAGAGGGAGAAAGAAGGGACTTGACTTCTCATTTCTTGGCCCTGCTCTGAAGCCCCTGCTGGCCTCCCCACCAAGACCTGGCCTGGCCTTCCCCCTCCATCTCCCAAGCCTCTGTGGGGCTTTGCCGTGGCCCTAGGTGCCAAGATGCCTTTGCTCTTGAGCAAAAGTTTCTGAAAAGGGCTTGTCCTGGGCATCCACACACTCCTGACCGCCCGCCGGTGCTCCCTGGCTGAGACAAGTGCAGTAGCTACGATGACTGGCAAGAAGCTTTCCTGGCAGGTGGGCACCATAGTTGGAGACAGCTATGGTGAGGGCCTCCTGCAAAGGCCTGAGCTGAAACAGCAGGAAAGGCGGAATGACCACCCATGCGGGTGCCAGTGCAGGAAGCAGAGAGGCAGCCGAGGCCTTTGGCTTGGGTACAGGAATGTTCTTGGGGCTGGAGCAGGGGTGCGGTTTACAGTAGGGCAGGTGCCTGCAGCTCCTGCTGGGCACTCCTTAAAGGGCAAGGGGCCAGCGTGACCAGTTGGCAGTCAGGATTTGCCAGTAGGGCTCCACAGGCTGTGGAAGTTCATTCTGTCCCTTCTGCCCCATGAAGAGCAGGGCCTGCCATTCTCCCAAATGGCCAGAGAAACAGCAAGGCTTGGCCAGAGCTCTGTGACCCACCAAAGCCAGGGCCCTGGCCTTGGCAGTCCATGTTCCATGAGAGGACCTAATCCAGGAACAAGGCCTGGAGGAAACCACAGCCAAACCCAGCAGTGGTGGAGGGAACAGAAACAGCAAAAAGACTTCCAAGTCAACAGGGTCAAGGAGGAAACACCCGTGTCTTAGAAAGGGAGAAGCCAGATCTGGGGTAACGGTGCAGGTGAGGGATGCTCTGCAGTAACTGTGGTTGAAGTGCTAGATAAGAAGACAATGCTGAGAAAGTCCTGCCATGAAGAAGGAGGTGGGGGGAGGGTGCTGAGGAACGCAGGTCACCATTAGCAGCTACTTGGCGCTGAACGGAGTTTTGGGCCAGTCTCTAGCGAGGACGCTCTAGGGAGAGCCCTTGGGAGAGTTGTCGAAACTGAAGACAGGAGCGAGGTGCGCCCTGCATTGTCCACGGGAGCTGGGGACACCCAGCCCACACCTCGCCATTTCTCTCACGTCCCATCCTCGCCACAACTGACAGGGATCGTGTCCTCATTTCACAGATGAGAAAACCGAGCCTTAGAGCAGTGACGTCACCAATGCAGGGCCCGACTCCTATGCACCTACGGAGCCGGGCAGCGAACTCACGCACCTGTCAGCCTGTGGAGTCCACCCAGCATCCTCTGTCCTTTCTCTCCCTTCCTCTGTGACCCTCCTTTCCCGCCCACCTTGTCTGCTGTGGCGGAGCAAAGATGCACTTAGAGGCCAGGGTCTTCCATTAGCTACACCAGCGCCTGGGGCTTTGCGGGCTGGGGGAGAATCCAGGTCACATTTGGGGCGGGGCCGGGCAAACCCAGGGCCGCGCGGCTGGGCCTTCAGCACCTCGGAGAGCGGCCCTGGGCGGGGCCAGACGGCGGGGGCGTGGCCGCGGGGCGGGGGCGCGCCTGGGGCGCTC